TGCTCGTTTGCAACTAACTTGCCTTCAATGAATACGACGCAAAATATGGCAAGCTCAAAGAAGATCAAAAGACCCTGGTGCAAAACAGACAAGGATAGGTACGGACACGGTATTTAATATAGCAGATTTGATAACTTATATAATATGTAGTCTTACTGTGCATACGAAATCTCTAAAGATCATCCACAAGCGTTACAGAGGCAGAAAAACTTATTTGGGGTACGACAGCGTCCATGTACGCCCAAAGTTATACTGAGATCCAGTAAAATATGAAGAAAACGCATACTATGAAAATTTTGTTAGTAGAAAAATTGATCGAATATTGTCAGTGTGTAATGTTGACATAACGTATGCTTTGGAGTTCGAATGTAAGTGACAGAAAGATCTACACACTCACACGTACACCTTACGAGAAGTAACGCTAATGTTTACTTGAATAATAATCTTATTGGTCTTATTGAATAAATAGTATGTAAACAATGTCGTCCATGAATAATAATAATAACAATAATAGATAAGACGAGTAAGTGATTGAATTTTATTTCTCTGGAACTCAGAACGAAACAAAACAAATAACTATCAATATAGAGAACATTGTTCATTATAATTTAGACTCAATATTGAAATGTAAATTGTTTGTCATAACAAACAATAAATTTCAAATTTTCTTTCTCTTTAGAAAGATCTGTGCATCCATTTATGTTTTAACACTAAATAACGAGCGAGAGATAAGCGATATATTGTGTTGTTTCTCTTCAAATCTATGAATATTGAAAAGACAAAATATGATTCATATATAGGTGAGTTTTGCAATCTATGTCAACAGCTTATAAATTGAATAGAAACCAATGACAATGTGCTGGTTTGTATTCTCAAAGAAAAGAAAACACAATAACAAAAAAACAAAATCGAAGAACAACTATTTTTTTTTGCTTTTCTTATTATTGATATTGAATATAATTGTTTTGCTTGTGTCTTTTTTTTTCTTAATGTTTTTTTCATTATCATTAAATGTTGCCAATTGTTTTTCAAGTTTATCCACCGAACGTTGACTAAGTAAACCTTTTGATATTAACTGTTTAATCAAATCTTCAGTTTCATCAAATTCATGTCCACGTGTTTCTGCTTGTATTTTTAATGCATTTAAATATGAATGTAGGACTTTATGAGTATTCATCGTCAATGATGTGGAAAGTTTTTCTTCTTGTTGTTTTTCAACTTTATTATCTTGAGTAGATATTGTTGATGAATCACTTGTTGGAATATCTAATTCTTCTTCTAATCCAATTATTGATCGTATTGGTGGTACATTAGTTTTAGATTTATTGATTGATTTAACTTCTTCAGTGACAACTGCAATAGCTTCAGCTGTCTTTTCTGTATTTGATGTTGTTACAGCAACATCTTTGGCATCTTCAAGACGATTTGTTCGATGTATAAGTTTAACAATATTTTGTACACCAGCATGAATTATTTGATCAAGTTCAGCTTGAATACCACGGACTAATTCTTTATCAGGAAACATATCAGGAAAACGAAAACTAAAAAAAAAAGAAAAAAAGAAAAGCAAATTTTAATTTAAAAGAAAAAAATTGAACGATTGATAAATAAATATTAACCTCAACCATAAATAAAGATCTAGACAATCGAAAACTTCTTCCAAATGTACTAAATCCATAATTGTATTTGGTGTTTCAAATGGCCAACCTATTTGTTTTGCAAGCCAATCAAATGTTGATGGTTCACTACGACTAAATTGACGTGCATACTTCAAAATAGAATCAAAATTAATTGCATTAAAGAATAAAAAAGAGAGAAATTTTACTTTCAAAAACATAGTACAAACGAATGGCATTTTTTTATTAATTGGAGCACATGAAAATGTATAACGAGCACGTAGTGATAATGGTACATGTTCAATAATATCAGCAAGAAATTTAACATCTTCAACATTACACATAAAAAAAAGACTATCATCTAACTGTGATAAAACTACAAATATATCCTAAATAAATAAATTATTTATTCGATTAATGATTTTTTATAATAACATACAATTAAACTTGAAATTGAATGTTTAGGTAAATGATAGGCAAACATTTCAATTTGTTCAGCTGTTGGATGAAGTCCAGCACGCTAAAATCAACAGAAAACTCAGCAAATAAAGTTTATTTTTTTATTTGAAAATAAATACTTTAATTGTGTCTACTTGTCGACTAGCAATGTCTTTCAATAATAGCAAATCCTCACGTCGAAATGTTGTTACTTCACCATCAGGAAAAGCACTTGCAAATCTAAAAATAGATATATATATATATATTAGCAAATTTGATGATTTCATCGAAATTATTTAACCTTCCAGCTCGACCAGCAATTTGTAAAGCTTGTGATGTTGTCACTGTATCTTTTTCTTTTTCACCTTGTTCATTTAATTGCGGTTTTACAAGACTATAGAAAATAATACGTTTAATACTCCTATCAACAAAAACAAAAAAACAATCTAAATATTAAAAATTTAAGAATAAAATTAATAAACATACAAATTTAAACCCATGCCAATAGCATCAGTGGCAACCATTATTTTACACGAATCATTTGGATCATTAAAACGTTGAGCTTGTAATAATTTCGTACCTAATTGAAATTTGAATATTTTATTTTTTGTAAAATTAAAATAAAAAGATAATTAACCTGGTGGTAATGATCCATAAATAACAGCTACTTCATGACCACGTCTTTCTAATTCACGTGTTATATGAAATATATCATTTTTACTGAAGCATACAAAACAATCGCCTGCTTTGACATTATCGAATGTTTCTAAATTATTGCTAAAAAGCGTGTGTTAGTCAATTTGTTCTATTTTAATTTAATAAGATGACGATATAAAATCTCCAAAACAGACATTCAACATCTTTTATAGCATGAAAAATATAAACCATTTTATAGAACACTGTGGAATCAAAATATGAAACACGATATAGTTACTGTTGCGAATCAGAAGAATATTGTTGTATTCTATAAATTTTTGTACCTATTTTTTTTTTTGTATTCTGTTACTTAGCTTTCAGAAAAGCTATAACGAAGTAGTTCATATAGTAAGAAGAACTTCCTCATCAAAGTTTTATTATTTCCACTAAATCTGAATTTTTGATAGTAGCCTGTTTTTTCTATATGTTAATTCCGAATAAAAAGCTTGTTTTTTCATCAAAATCTTAAAAAATACAATCAATTTTTGTAGTTAACTAGAACATGATTCTATTTTTAAAATGTTCATTGTTGTCTGTCAACAGTAACAAGTATTCAATATCTAATTTGGAGACTTCATATCATCTATGTTCGAAAAAATAAATAATTGAAAATGTTGATTACCTAATGCTCGATCTTGATAATTTAATTTTGTTAATCGTTTATATTCTCTAATTTCTACTTGATCACCTGTGGTAACCATTAAATCCTCTACAAGTCGTACTGTAGATTTTTCACCACATAAATGAATTTCTTTTGCTTGTAGACCTAATGTAAATCAATATGAAAATTCAACATAAAAACAAGAGATCTTTTTATTACCAAGTAAAGCTCGTGTCCATGCCCAACCACGTTGTGGATCACGCATCATTTGAATTTCATCAATGATAGCCACATCATCTATAATAAGACACATATATATATATGAAAACTGATTTACATAAAGTTTCATGTAACTTACAAAGTGTAGTTAAATTCGTCATTTCAACTGTACATGCTACATGATTAGCTGGTTTTCCTTCAGGATCAGCAAATCGACGTTCTTCACCAGTAACTAAATCACATTTTGTACCCTACAGAAGAAAAATAATTTTCTGTCTTAGAAAAATGGAAAAATTTTTACAGCAGCATTAGTCTTATAAAAAACTTCAGATGCTAATAATTTTAATGGGCCACAATAAACTCCACTTTCACTATTTATATAACGTTGAAGTGCATGATATGTCTATATAACAAAAAGAAATCAAAAAAATTTAATTTCATACTCTTTTTTGTCATATATTAATCATACTTTTCCACTATTTGTTGGACCAGCATGAAATATTATTTTTCTCTGTATCGCTCGTGCATCTGGATACCTAAAATATTGTTTTATTTCATTAAAAAAAAAACGAATTTGATCTATGGCAAAATATTTTTACCAATTAGCAGGATCTCTAAGATCACTTATCTTTTTCAAATCTTCCATACATGTTAAATGTGGAAACATTTCTCGTGCATGACGTAAAAAATAAGGAAATATATCTGTTACATGACCTTTTCAAATATAAAGCAAAATTTATGCAAATAAAAATAAAATAATAAAAAAAAAAAATTGTATACCAGATCCGGATATAATATCACTAAATACAATATGCAAGTCAACAGGTAAAACTGCTGATTGAATACAAAATTTTCGAAAACTAACATAAGCATCTTGAAAAAGACGATTATCAAGACCTTGATCAGCAGCTAATTTTTTAATTTCATCACGACGATAAAAATCTGTGATGATACGAAGAAGTGCATCTTGAAAAGACAAAAATAATAAATTTTCTTTTTTTTCTTTAAATATGATATTGAATTTTCGATTTAATCTTACTTCGTTCAAGAGTTTTACCACCAGTTAATTCTTGACCAATATTTGTATCTTCATTTTTTGATGATGTTGGATCAAGTTTATCGATAACAGTCATTGGTTTAACATCAATTGGTTGAAAAAGTCGACGTAACGTATTTGTTGGATTATCAGTTTTATTAGAATTTATTCTATGATGATGAGAATGATGATGAGGATGAGAATGAGGAGGATGATGATAGGGTGGAGATGATGATGTTCGATGTCGTTTATTATTATTATGACTTGATGTTGACGCTAATTTAATAGAATATTCAGTGAGAATCGATGAATATGATAATAAATGTCTATAGGAAATCGTTAGAAACATTCTTTTATTTATCGATAACATATTTAATAATCTAGAATATAACAGTTAATTAATAATTTGTTTAAGTAATAATTTAATACGTGATAGAACAATTTCATTTGTTCCTAAAATATTCTCATATGTATATGGAGCATTTATTTGAACAATACCATTTTGTATTAAAATTGTTATAGAATTATTTTCTTCGACTTTTTCTTGAAATGGTATTCGTTTTGATGAAAGAAATTTACGAATTTTTCCTAAACGATCACAAATAGATTCATCTTGATTATCTGTTGTTGAATTCGAAGGTAAAAAAGGATCTTTATTTGCTTGATGAGAAATATTTCGATCGAGAATTTTCAATTGAATAATATCAGGTCGTAGAACGATATGAACACGATTTGACGTATCATCGATCAAGACAATGCTTAAAAGAATAAAGAAGAATTATTATACATATTAGATTGGGTACATTCCAAAAGTCGTTAGTAATTGCAATAAAGAAAATATTTAATAACTCGGTTTCAATCAACAGCAATTCTCTTCATGATACAATATGATAAATAAAAACAAAATCCTAGGATTACTCTTTAGTTTACTGATAAACTTTAATTTTTCGGTTAGAGTAATCCGTTAAAATGCATGGTAGATTATATTTTGGAGATCTCTGAGAGAAAAATGCAACGTTTTATTCATTGTCGATAGAAATAGGTAATTGTACTGTCGAATATATCTGTTTCTATTGCCATACTAGGGTACTATCTGTAAAATAGAATGAGAAATATGTTAGATTAAATCATATCAACATGTCAACCTCTGAGATTGATAAGATATGAAAGTCTTATTCTGTTCGATTCTACAAATTTTTGTTCGACTTCATATTTCTATCAATTTTGTTTAATTAGACTAAAAATCAATATAATAGTAATTATCTGTCGAACCTTTGTGTCAATGGATCGACTGTATAAACTCTTCCTGAATAATTTCTTTGACCAGCACATTCAATTTGTACTTGATTATCAATCAATGTTGCATAAGTATCAACATCAAATTGGAATGCTTCATTTAACAAATTATCCATAAAAATATTATTTCTAAAAACAAAAAACAAAATAACAATAAATATTCTTTTCTTCTATTTTCTTGTTTTTTTTTTATTATTGAAACACGACAGATATATTTCTCTCGTCATTATGAATATTTTTAGCAGATTCTGCATTTTCATATTGATTTATATTAATCCTTTTTTCTAATGTAAGTTATTTTTAAGTTAAATCAATTAATAAATCAGTTATTTTCATTTGTGCATTTGGCATTAATAAAAAGATTCAGTCAATAACATCTATACGTGTACAATTTTTCTTTTTTTCACCATCAATAGTACGTCGTAACATTCAATATGAAACCATACCTAACAACATTTAGAATTTTTCGTTTTTAATTTAAAAGAAAAATATAATTTTTAAAATACCTTCAAAAGGTTCACAATGATAAATTTTTTCACTATGATCGATTATTTCTTCAACAACAGTATTATTTCAGTTGGTTCAGTTTAACAACGAGCAGCTTCAACAGCATAGTATGCAGCAAGAATAAAATCAGCTCGTGGTTCTATTACTTTTTTTTGTCTCTTATCTCACGAACAACAGCAATATAGATCCATCGATATCACGACCTAGATCAATTTTCACAACATCATCATATTTTAATATGCTATTGAAATCGGATTCTAACGGACTATAATGACATATATAAATAGTGACAACTTAAGTATTGTATTATTTCTGTTGTCATCTTTCTATATCATAACAACAAGGTCAATAGCATTCGTTGCGTCTTATACTATCTTTGATGCAGACATTATTGATGAAAAAAAATATTTGTAAAGAGAATTCTAGAAAATACAAAAAAAGAAATTGCTTTAAAATAAAATTCTAACATGTAGGGGCAAGAGTTGAACGGAAATCAGTCCATTTCAAAAAACGTTGAACATACTGAAGAAATGGGATGATCTTATATTATAGTTTCAAAGAGAAGCTCAGTCCCTTCTACAAACTAATTCTGATTCTGGTACTAATTTTATGAAAGATGCAGTGTAAATTTGACACAAGAGTGATTGGTGAATCTGAGAAATTCAAGTTCCAAAAAATCTGAATTGATTTTCAAGTTTTAAGAAATAGATTAAATGAATCTATATTTCCTTTTGATATTATATTGGTGAAATTCGAATAATATTGAAGAATATATTTGATTGGTTGATGTATAAATCAATGAAAATTTAAAAAGTATACTTGATTAGAAACTACCGACATCAATGCATCACTCAAAAGTATATGATCGTAAGTACTTGTTAGGAATTTTCAGTTCTTTTTTAAATAATTTCCTAGTTAAATTGACGCGGTCGGTAAGAATAAAGAAATTTATAATTATTGACGTATGAAATAATATCTATAGAATGAATAATGCTGACAAAAGGTACTGAATTGCTAACACACATGCCCTTTTTTGATATCGTTTAATAAACATTTATAGTTACTAAAACGATCGATAGGTTACGAAAAGATCAAAATAAGAGTTGAATCTAATATGCATTTTAATGGAGCTGAGTGAAAAGGAAGCCAACACTGTTTCCCTAGGTATTGTCTACTATTCGCTCACTGCTGTTTAACAAATAGTGATGTTATATAATATATTTTGGTTTCGTAATGTAAGATACGAGAAGCTTAGTACAAAAACAATTCATGCTATTTGTGAAGTGCTGACTACTTTCAATATTTGATTGTATCATCACATTGAATGTGTGTTCCATTCGCAGCTTCCAAAAACTTGTTTTTCATAGATCTTTTTTTCGGCTGTTAAAAAAAAGCTTCAATGCAAAAGAAAGATAATGATCATGATCAGTATGTGAAAATCTGTTAAATAGTGCATGGTTTAATATATTGTTTACGGAAAAACAGTTTTCCGACAATAGTGGGTAAGAGTTCTGCGCAGGTGTACGTTGTTGAAAAATTTCTTTCAAAATTAAACTTTGTTTTCTTCAATATGATTTTCTGAACTATGTACGCTTACTTTTGAGTAATGAGAATCTCTCCTCAAGCATGAAAGTTGTCCTCTATGAAGAGATGATCTACAGATAGTTGTCAAGTTTTATCTTAAAACCGAAGAATGAAGAGACGTATTTATATGGATGAATTGCAACTTTATTGTACCGTTCGTAGTTCCATATGTAAAACTTTAATAACTTCAGTTCCTCTTGGCCAATCTCTATGAAAATTTCGGAGTATGCTGCCGTAGTTGATGCGCACTACTACACAAAAAATCACGAATTTATCATTAGCCTATCCCGAGATACTGCATACACAAGGTTAAAATGGCTGATTTCTACTGCCACCTATGGACAGAAAATGACCCATAACTAATTGGTTTCTTGTCATTTGAATTTTGACAGTTTTTGACATTTACAGTGGACAGTGTATACATCATGGATATGAGACTGGCTAGTTCTTTCATCGCAGTTTATGTTATATTTTTTTCCGAATATCAGGTGTACCGTCTATGGTCAATATGGTGTCACACGAGATTTAAAAACGCCTTTGCTATATAACAAAGCAATCAAAATTTGTCGGATTGGTTTTGAATGAAAGCTTATCAGTGGGGAATAAAACTACCAAAGATGATTCGAAAGTTTTACTTATTCTTATTAAGAAAGGGACATTAAATAAAATTTGAAAATATAGTTGTCACACTAAATGTCACACGAGATTTCATACTTTGTGTGTCGTATTAACTCTTGTAAATTAAGGCATATTGAGCTGAAATTTTTATCATTTATTTGTTAGTTGTGGCCAGATATTGCTGAAAATATCACGGTTAGAAAATGCTCCTTTCGCATAATAGAGAGGAAAATAGTGTAAAAATGTCACACGAGATTGTCGGCAAACTGTCACACGAGATTTTTTCAAAAAAGTGCCAGATGAGATTTTTATGTGGATAACTATCCAGTAACTGAGATTAAGGTGAATAAAGGGCATATTAGTCGCTTTCATGTTTAAGTGACTATCACTACTCACGCGAACTAATTCTAACACATTCCTCACGAGTTAATAAATTTGCTGTGAAAGATGCGTATACACGATCTATACTCAATTTAACAGTGGTAGTCGGGAAATTTTATTCATATCCATCTCTCATATAGTGTAGTAAGATGCACTACTCCCAATCTCTAAAATCGGAAATTTTTTTTTCATCGATTTTTTCTCAAAACGGTACAATAAAGTTGCAATTCATCCATATATTGTCTTCAACATAAGAATATAGTCGATTGAAAATGAGAAAAAAAATGCTCGAATTGATAGATTAGCCAATTCAAAGAAAAAAAGAGATCCATTGGAAGTAATCAAGAAGAGTGTCATGTATCAACTAAATCTCGCGCAAGAATCCTAATGTTAGAGGTTTTTCAGTAGAATGTGTCACAAAAGTACTGTAAAATTTCAAACATTTTTTTAATCTTCTTGCTGCTCAATAATGAATTAATGATTTTCGATTATTATCATTCAAAATGAACCGAAGCTGGTCAAACTATTAATTATTTAAAAATACTTATGAATGATCAATGAATAATCGCTCATTATTAGTGTTGATAGTAAATTCATTTACGAAAGAAAACGTCCGTTCTGTTATTAGAATAGTATTTTTCGTATAAAAAAAAAACTTTGGATGAATACTGACTGAAAAAACCATAAGTAATTAATTAGTAACAAATCTGTAATTTAGGTTAGCAAAATGGCTGCTGAACAGTTAAAATGAAGTTGATAAACAAGTCAAAGAATTGATAGATTTCATATACCAGTTCTTTCAATGTTTCCACCACATACATCGGAGTGGCGTTTATCAAAAGACATTGTGAATTGAGAAAAGACGTAAAAAAAAAACATCGATTCATTTAAACGTCAGAATAGCATTCTTTTTCTTCCAAATTGTGCATCGAAAAGCAGACTTTTTATCAATTTTTTCTTTTTTGTACTTTTGCTTATCATTATGATTGTTTTTTATGCGTTAGATTTGATACGATGTTCAAAGAAATCTTTCTAACCAATAAAAATACTATCTACAAGAGAAAAGTCATGCTAAAGTAACATTTGATAAATTTTTATATGTATGCTAAGAAAAACTTTATTGTAACACATATCTAATCTGAATGATTTGCCATTGATTCTGAGTATGGTTTCAACATTTCGTTACTACTATCACATTCAAGATCAAAATTGTATTCAAATTTTGCATGACTGTTGTCATTGAGAAATTGTCATAAATGAGTTTCAATAGACATTGTTTCTCTATCTTTTACACGACTGGTTTGAGAATACACAATAGCTAAGTACAATTGATATAATCTCTGTACAATGTTTGAATGAAGATGTAATTTCTCTTAATAATTTCATGTCTTCGATTGATTCAAATATCTTCAGATACCACATTGAAAAAAGTTTTACATGTTGTAGACTATTACAATTGTCAAACAAAAAAATAACAATACCACGAAAACCTTCTGCATCAACTACTGATTCATAGATAATATTAAGTTCTAGATAAACAAGATATCCATGGAACATTGCACTTTTTAATCAGTCATTACGTTCCACATCTATTATAGAATTTACAAGACAACTAAAATCAACACGTAATTTAGGAAGATGCAATCCAAAAGTAGGTATAATGGAAGTCAATAATACACTGTCACAATAATTACCAAAAGGTATAATGAGGTGAGATAAAATTCTTATTGTTATTGTTGTATTAATACAGATGTAAGCAGTTCTTTTTTTCTAATCCTTAAATAAATCCAAAAATCTTCTATTTTATATTAACAACTGTTTATTAATATACCACTTACGAATATTAAAAAGTTCATTCTTATAGACTAAATACAAATCTTGTGTTGAAATCAATATTCAATAATCATGCATGTGTTTTAAAATATTAGGTCGGTAAGAAATTTTTGTCGTTTTTTTCTTAATCCTCGAAAATATTCGCAAAGCTTCCAGAAGTTGCCATACCTAGGATATATATAGAGGACACGTA